CCACCTGCTTCAAGGCCTCCCGTAATCATATGTATGATTCTAGCTGGTGGTGGGAGTGGAGGTGGGCCTTGCTGATATCCTACACCTTGCCTATTTGGAGGATTGCGGACTCCTTGAGGCTGCGGCCTCTGTTCTCCGATAAACCTCTGCTGTTCAGTTCTCTGAACATACTCATTTAGCATTCCCTTCTAAGCTAAACTTTCCAGTTTGGACTTTAAGCTGTTGCACTGTTCTATAGTATGGCCGTGATCTTGATGAAAATCACAATATCTGGTGTGGTCTCGACTGGCAGCAGCAGTTTTCATCGGGCCAGGACGCCTTAAATCCATTTTATTCTTGATCTGCATAAAAATTTGTGACCTCGGTAGATTAAAGGGAGTCCAATTAACTGGAGGTTTACCTGCAGATTGTTGCGGAGGTGTTGAGTTCGTCCTTCCGAATCTCGTTGGGGAGGTCAACATCGGACCTCGGTTCTGTGCCATTCTCATCCTTTTCCGGCTCGGATTGTCATCTCTCCATTCTGGGTTCTGGTTCTTAAAGGAAGGTGGGTTTTGCGCCAGAGCGTATTCCTCAGCAGTTATGAATTTTAGAGATCTGTCGTTTACCTCGCTAAAGGAGGTGGCAGCATGTTTGATCAAACTGTCTCGGAACCTGTCATGTTTGAGACCAGAGATTACAGCTGCAATGCCCACAGCTTGGTTGAAGGAATTAACCTCCAACACCGCATCATTGAACCTACTCATGTAGTTCTTTAGAGACTCTCCGTCCCTCTGCTTAACTCGCATCAATTCGGTAGTAGTTTTCCTAATCAACCTTCTACTGGAAAACTTAGTGGCAAAGGTAGATGCCATTTCTGTGTAAGAACTAATTGACCTCGGAGGTAGACTATAATACCAAGTTTGAGCATTATCTCGCAGAGTAAAGGGGAATATTTTGCACATTAACGCTTCAGAAGCGTTTTGAGCTTGCATACAAGAGTAGAAAGCATGCAGGTGATCATCGGGGTCCTTTGTCCCGTCATAAGTCTCCAATTGTGGCATTTTGAAACTAGCAGGATAGGGTTCTAGAGTAATGTTGGTATTCAAAGGGTGAGGTATAGAGTCAGCAGCATGGTGTGGGGGTGGAGCACCTCGGTGTTCGGCTACTAGCTTCTCCAGGCTATTGAGACAGCGAGTAACATCATCAGGGATGGGTTGTTGAGCGGGTGCTATGTGGGATTGACCCTGAGATTCACTAACAGCGGGAGCATATTGAACCGGTTGAGGATTCTGTTGTGGAGCTGGGGGTTGTTGAGCAGGGTTTAGTAAATTAATGAGAGGATCACCAAGATTATTTCTAGCGAAAAGCTGAGTCAGTACCAACTGAAAAACACCAAACTGCTGCTGCATGGCAGCAAGCTGAGCTGTCACCACGTCGTGGTTGGCAGTGGAAGTTGAATTGTGGGCTGAGGTATGGGGTTGGTTTTCATCTCCTCCTTCTGCATGATCAACAGGAAGGAATATGGTTGGGACCTGAGGTAGGATTTGAGGTGGGATCGGAGGTGGAAGGTTGTTAGGGGGTTGACCTTGCCCATGAGGCAGAGATGAATTACCAGCTCGGACTGATCGAGTGTGAACCATGATGAAAGAGCAACTAGAAAGCTTTCAGTTCGATTCCCACAGACGGCGCCAATGTAATTGCACCAAACCTGAAGTCCTTCTTCAATCCGCGCTTGTACTCCAAGATGACCTGCAAAGCCCCGAGGTGGAACTCAGGGTAGACACTCCGATGCTTAAGTCAGCAATAATCGGGGCTACCTTTAGGGCGGAGATAAAAAAAGCTTAGGGTTGGTTTCAATTACCTTTCTGAGGTGGCCTCTGGGGGTATTTATAGGATCCAATGAGGAACCCCCATGGCATGCCAAGCAAGATAATCAGAGCTTGACGTGTCCCTCCAGACGGTTATTCCCGGACCGGGAATTTGAGGGGTATCCAGATGCACGAGCGTCCACCATACTTGCTGTGCCACTCATCGTAAGGGATCAGGTGCGGGCATGCTTATTGTCCTTGTCATGCAGCCATTTGAGCGGGAAGCTTAGGATTTATTCCTCACTTCGGTCATAAAGGAATTATTGTAGCAGTCCGAGGCTTGGCACCTCGGACCTATCCTTACACTATTCAAATTTGGGAACGAAATTTCTGTATTCTTTGCAAATTCAAATATGTTTTTCTAATGTTTTACATTTTGGTAGCTTCTTGTTGGTTGGAAAATGATGGGTTATTGCTAGATTTGAATTTTAGCAATTTTGGTATGTTTTTTTTGGATAAATTTGATGCTGAATGATGCATGATAGCAACCAAGTCACATGGTACCTGAATTTTCTATTCTTTGCCCATAGAATGGTTTAATTCAACTAGTGAATTAAACAACTACTCCAATATTGATTGACGCAGCCATATTTAATGTCTACCCAAGATACATTGAATTTTCCTAATCTATTTTAAGAATTGGAGGTTGCTATCATTTTGAACATTGACTTCTAGAAACTTCTTTCCATTTGCTTTGTGAAATAGTATTTTTTTGCTATATTATTTATTTTTCTTGTTTAGTTTCTGTGGTTTGCAATATTCTCCTGCATCTGGCAGTCAACCATTTTTGCTTTTATCCTACAACTTTCATCAGCATTGTCAAAGGACTTGACCATTTTCATTATCTCATTAATACAGTCTGGTTGCTGCTTTGATTTGTGAATACCATCTTCCTTGTTCTTGTCGTAGCACCTCTTAAGCTAGCTAGTCTAAAATGAGATGATAAACACAACCGTGAGCTTGGCTTCAAGCTATAACTAAATATGTGTGTGTGAATACACACTTGTATTGAAGCTAGTCTCAGTACATCCCTACTGCATGCGTAGAGGTCCACAATTCTCATTAGATCCATAACATGTTAAACCAAAACAAAACACTCACCTACATATATATGAGATCATGCATAACATAATCCATTTATAAATTAAATCATCATTAGAAGCATATAAATATTTATGTGTCTCATTCAGCTTACATTGAATCTCTTAAGTTTGTCTTTGGACTTTGGCTGATGACTATAAAAGAAGTGGTGTGGGAGCTACTTTAGGGATGGTAATATGGTTTTTCTATCATGTTAGCATATGATCTTAGTATGTATATATAGAATATGTGGTAGGTGTTTGGCTATGGTGCTGGTTTAAGTGGAATCTCTATACTCACAC